TAATGTTAATTATAAGACAATTGAGAGAGAGAGAGAGAGAGAGAGAGAGAGCAAAAAATTAAAAAAGTTTTTAATAACAATAAATATAAGTTAGAGATGAAGTGCAACAATGAAGTAAAACACAATTTAAATAAATTATATGTTATATGTGTTGTGTAGATGTGTGTTGTCTATGAGATCTGTCAAAGTTGTGTACCAGCGATGGCTAATAAATTAGATTAACAGCAACAGCAGCACCGGGTCTGGTATAAGAGTTGTGTGTATTACAGCCCCGTATACCCTACCACTTACCACGTTGAGTAGCACAGTGTACAGTACATATGGGGGTATACAAGCTGTATGTGTGGTAAAAATCATATCATTAGTTGCGATCAATGATTAATGACTTTATACATGCATATACTCTGCTCTCTCCCCATCCCTAGTCTCTCTCTCTCTCTCTCCAGACAATAGGCAAATACGCACACACACGAAGAAAACTGTGGGAAAACTCGTATTGTTTTGTATGAGAGGGACGGGTAGTCGTCGACACATGTTATTTAAATTATAGCCCTTTCACTATCGCTATATCCCTATCACTCCGTAGTAAATATAACAACAAAATGTTTGAATTATTGCCATTTACTTCTCTCAACCCATTCACCAAACAATACAATATGAATACCGTATATAATATGTATGAATGAAAAATTGTTTACAACCCATAAGTATAGAGTAGTGTATCGGAGAAATTCAACCCGGTGTAAAATATTGGCAATTTGTAACCATAAAAGCCCGTATAATGCATGTATTAATACAATGCCTATTGTCTGCCAATAATGTTAATTATAAGACAATTGATCAGGATTAAAAGTCTGAGGGCACTGGATGTCATTTATGTTGATTTTATATTATGCTAATTAGTAAACACACAAAAAGCAAAACAAATATCAATATTTAACCCTAATTTTTAACACATTTTCTTAAGAATGGACTGATCGCATGTCTCTCAATCGATTATCATGATAAATTATGTTCAAACTCGACAAATATTTAAACGGGGGCTATTTGTAACGCTAGATACCCTGGATGTGACTCTAACACAACAACTATCGTTATCATGCAATGAGTTTGTAAATAATAAATTAAAAACTTTTTATTAATTAATCATTTTTAACGAAAACAAAACAAAAACTATAAGTGTTTTTCGGTTTGAGACGAAACACAATTAATACTTCAATTTTTCAAATTATTTTCAGAGAGAGAGAGAGAGAGAGAGAGAGAGAGAGAGAGAGCGAGCGAGAGAATGTCAGTTGAGGCCAATTATCTAAATTACAACTAGTATAATAAATGGTTATCAAAAAAGAGTTTTACTGATGATCTTTTTGTCGGTTCATTATATACGGTATACTTTACACATACAATAAATAATTCTCATTACATACAGTATAACATATTATGTCTGTTTGTCTGTTGAATATATTTATTACTATTGAAAACAACAGAATATTATATTCTTGAAAAACAAAACAAAAAGTTTACAAAATTTTTATCATTAATTTTACTGATATATAAATGTTGTCAAAACTTTTTGATCTCTCTCTCTCTCTCTCTCTCTCTCTCTCTCTCTCTGAAAATAATTTGAAAAATTGAAGTATTAATTGTGTTTCGTCTCAAACCGAAAATCCATTTATTATACTAGTTGTAATTTAGATAATTGGCCTCAACTGACATTCTCTCTCTCTCTCTCTCTCTCTCTCTCTCTCTCTCTGTCGGCAACCATATTGAAAGATATTAAACATATACTTTATATTGTGTAACGAATGGGTTATTGAATGGCAAACATTGAGACAATAAAATAGGTGGAGATCTTGAAAGCAATGACAACAACAGCCATAACAATATACAACACAAACACTTATAAAACTAAATGTAATTATCAGTTACACATATACACAAATAAAAATATGGGCAGGGTTAGTTGAGTGAGAATGTTTCAGGATGGCCATAAAACACCATAATTTATTACACTCTCACCAAACACAGGTATTTTTCATTACACAGAATATGCTGTATATTATGTTACAGCAAATGCTGGGAAAAGGATAGGAAAATATTATTGTTATTATTATTACTATTGCCATCCGATTGACTACGAGAGAGAGAGAGAGAGAGAGAGAGAGTTGTAAAATAAAGCGTTAGTCTGTAAAAACAGTATTTAATTAAATCTAACAAAACAAATAATTTTATTCACACATATGAACACACTATACGAGTTGTGACAACTCTATCGCATACACCAAATATTATGAAATACCAGTCTATATAGTCAAACAATACACAGCATGTAAGCAAAAAACACAATAAAATAAACAAATAAAAATAATAAAAAGTGTGCATCGACCGGGAATCGAACCCGGGCCGCCCGCGTGGCAGGCGAGCATTCTACCACTGAACCACCGATGCTCCCATATATGTAATCAGCCCTAACGCTGTATGCATTAACTGAAATATTAAAACAGGTTCAATTATCTATAAACTATTTCTGGTACTTATAAATACCATTGACGTAAACATACAAATTAATAAATGGGTTAACCGTATGGCACAGACACACAACTGACTATACAATGCATACCTGTGCTCACCAATGGCTTAAAGCATAAGATATTTATATAATACAGACTCGCAGTTAGATATTAGTATTAAACACCTGACGCTCAGTTGTAGCTATATTTGTTGAGCACCGGTTGAGCCTAAATATGTCTTATTGTGTGATTTGGTGGTCATTTGGCATTATTGTTGGTCTGTATTTACACACGTATATTGCCATCCATTCCCCATCCCTTCCCCCATAAGGTTCCCTTTCCTCATCGAAATACACTATTTTTATATCTCATATATATTTTATTTCGTATATGTTTTTTGTTTTTGATTTTTGCGCAAAACAATTTACCCATTTGATTTTTATATTGCAAACTAGAGAGAGATACATACCATTACTACCACTCACACCAAACTGTGACACAAACCGATTGCCGGGTGTTTGCAAATAGGGGTGAAATTTATTCAAATTCTGATACAAATGGTTGAGTTGCATACGGGAGGCGTATAGGGCTGAGGCGGCCGCCGCCGGGTGTATACCACCGCCAACAACACCGCCCGCACCGGGAAAGCCGGGCACAGACATCGGGCCCATACTTGTGGGCACCATAAACGCGGGATGTATGCCAGCCATACTGACGGGAGTAGAGTGACCACCGGTCCCACCACCGCCTGGAGGGCTATTCAGCGAGTGGTGGGGCGACAGAGACTGTTGGGACTGTTGTTGCTGTTGTTGTGAGGTCGGGACGGCTGTAGATGTGGGCGGGAGTGGTGGCCCGGCCTGGGATGTGGGCGGACTCGGGCCCATCATTGGAAAGCCCGGTGCGGCCATGAATTGTCTGGGAATGTTGCCGAAGTATAGGCTGGCCATCGCCGCCGGATTGCTGGCCATCATTGATGAGAGTTCGGCCAGATTTAAGTTGTTTATGGATTGGTTGGTAGGATATGGTGTGGGAGGCATACCCCCGGCCCCCGGGTGCGGACCACCACCGGCTGAGTTTGGCCCGAGTTTACCCCACTGGGCGGCCAACGCCGCCTGACTGGCCATCAGTAAAAAATCCTGACCACAGGGTATCCGTCCCATAGCTAATAGTAGTGGGAAATACATGAATGTTAATTATGTTTAATATTTTAACATGTTTATTTGCTAAATGTTTATTTAATAATGCAGTATATGCTGTGATTCTGGTAATAATTTATTCAGGTATGTGTTTACACTGCATATCATATGTAATGAGTGTTTGTTTGCAAATCAGTGACAAAATTCTGGTGACACACAGAATATTCTGTGCGCCAATACTCTTGACAAATAGTTTAATGAATTTCTATTGAATTAGTGTTTAGTAATTGTTAATAAAATTATCACAACCTAACATGATATATAACGAACTTAATTTAATATAAAATGTTTACATAGATTCTGGTATATAAACTAGGTAAATAATACACATGTATAGCCCACGGTATAAAGTATATAATTGTGTGTTAATATAACAAACGGGTTGTAACATGTAATTGGATCGGAAATGTTATTGCTTGTGGTAAATGATTGAGTGGTTTAATAGTGTGTTGTTCATAGTGTATAGTAGTTGATGCATATAAAATTGATCTAGATCACCAGACCACACCATACCTGCAGCGTTGGCCAGCGCTTGTTGATCGTGTGGGGATAAGTCGGCGCCAATTAGGGCCCGGAATGGCGAGTGACGGAAGGCGTGCTCCCGGAGCAGCGTTTCCACCGATTCTCTGTCAGTTTCAATATATAAAGTATGAATATATCATACGTTAGAGCGAGAGAGAGAGAGAGAGAGAGAGAGAGAGA